TCTTGCTACTCAGAGCTGAGGCTTGTGAAGGGTACAAAAGGCCCTGAAAGGAAAGTTAGAGTCATTATCTCAAACCAGAGCTTTCAGCTTGAAGTTTGCTCCTCCTCTGACTTATTTCTGTCAAGCCCCGCAGGACTTGGGCAGCCAAATGCCAAATTCACTGGCCAGCACCTGCCTGTCAGAGGAGACCTCCCCAGCACTGAGTTTTCACTGCAGTGTCTCAGGACTCTACTTCATCACAGAACTATAATTTAAAAATATAACTGAATGTGGAGTTTGCTGAGGGAGGAGAGTGCTGGGTGTTTTGGGGCGGGAAGTGTGGGTTTCTTTTATTTACTCCTTCCTCTTGTTAGGTCACTTGTTAGAAGCACGTGTACCTTTATTGCCCAGGCAACCACTGGGCTTTTCAGTAAGAATCACCTGAAGCTGGACATGGCTGAATTCTTAAACCAGCCCCTCTTGGCACTCTGGCTATGAACTAAAGGACTCCCAGCTCCTCCTGTGCTGATAAATGAGGCTGCATGTTGAAATCCCAATCACACATTCAGATTTCCAAGTTGACCATTGCAGATGTAAAACCAAATGTGTTCTAATCTGGTCCCTTAATACCCTGCTCCCTCTATAGTGGGCCTGGCGTAGGTCTGAGGAGTTGATGCATTTGTGGAAAATACCAGTGATAAAGCCTGTCCTGTAATGAACACATGGGAGGTGTGCCATGGGAATCAAGCATCTGAAGGAATCTACGGGGCCAATTATGGTTTTACAGACTTGAGAGTGTGTTCTGGTAAGAGACTGGAGACTGAACCACAGCTTCCAGCTTCTACCCTGCTTTTAGTTATCTGTAACCACTGCTAAAAAAAAAAATCTCTTACCATCAGTTTATTATTGCCTAATGTTTTCCTTTCATGTGGGCTCTTGAGTCATTTTTTACTTTCAGTTTTATTAATGTCATGCAATCTAGCTTTCAAAATTTGGTTCTTTGGAATCAAGTCTCTTAAATTGGTTATAGACTTTATCTAGGGATAATAGTTTCTAATGAAGAGAGTTTATACATCTCAAATTCCTGTGTGACACTGTCATGATATTGCAAGCCAGGGTTGGACAGCTGTTGGTGTGAAACACCCAGAAACCAAAGTGTGTGCTGGAGTGAGGATGGTGTCCCTCAGTCCTTGGGCAGGTCCTGAGCCCGAGGTCAAAAAACTCTTTAATGTAAAGGTTTCTGAGTGAGGGTGGATGGGTGCAAACACACCTTGTGTAAAAGGAAGGTGTTTATGTTCTATACATTAATTATCAGTGGAAATCCAGGCTTTTTTAAAGATGCACACTCTACCAGCTGTGTGGTGATCTAAGCAGATAACTCAGATCTAAGGTGCTGTGTGGCTTCTGCTTTTGCTAAGTTACAGCACGAGGTGGAACAGCTTAGCAGGTTTTGCTTCATGAGGTACAAACATGTTCCACTTCATTTGGAACAGAGAAGTGGAGCCCTGCCCACGGAGCGCTGCGGGGTGTCTCATCTGCTGGAAACCCTGAGTGTCCAACAGCAGCTGCTGGGCTTCGTGACAGCTCCACAGGTGAAAGCTCAGTGCTGAAACTCGCTCACCTTGCTCACTTCCCCCGTCTCTAATGTCAGCAGGATGGCTTTGGAAGAGGCTTCCAAGGAGGCTCCTGCTGCCTTCCTGCTGTCTGATCCTGGGGGGGCTGGGGGCTGCCCCTGGCCCTGACTGTGCTGCTTTCCATTGTGTCACCAGGAGCTCCCACGCAGCAGGGCAGCTTTTGGGTGGCAATGCAGAGGAGCTGAGCTCTGCCCCTTGTGGACCCAGAGATGGAAAGGAAACGTTTGCCACCTTGGGGCCTGTTTTTCTCCCCTGTTAGATGTGGTTGCAGCCTCCGTCCAGCTGTGGTGCCCTCTGTGAGCTCGCAGCAAACAGTCCCTCTGTGCTGTTTCTCTTTTCCCAGAAGAATAGCTGAAAGCAGCAGCTGCTGAAACTGCTGTGAGTTGTAGTGACACAGTTACAGTTGGTTTGTCTTGAATGGGCTGAGACTGGCTGCTCCCAAGAAGAAATAAAACCATCAAGCACTGTCCAGGCCCCCTGGCCAGCAGAGCCAGCTGGTGTTTGCCAGGGCTGGGGCAGGGCACAGACCCTGCAGAAGGGCTTGGGAATGAGACCCTTGGGAATGTCTGTTCTCCCTTCAGCTGCGGGGTCAGGAACTCAACACCTGCAGGTTCTCTTGGTCTTCCTCACAACTGGCCACAGCCCCTTGTTCTGTTTGTCCTGTGGCACCACAGAATGACCCTGCTGCTCTGTTTCTCAGATTAGATTCCCCTTACCTCACAGCCACTCTACCTCATTTCCCTGCACTTACCACAGGCACAAAAGAAATGAAAGCAGGAAAGTAATATTTTAATTTCTCTTTCTCATCTGCTTTGGCCCCTTGGGTTCTCTCTCACCTCAGGAGAGAGCCCTGTTTTGGTGAATCCAGGGCTGCTGGCTGCTTGTTGGAATCAGGGTGAAGAAGAGGACAGAGCACCTTGCTCCCTGGAAGAGGGACGTGTTAAGCACTGTAATGCCAGGCCAGAGCTGTTAGCAGTGGACTTTGAAACCTGTTCTTGTGTGTGAACATCTGAATGTCCTTGCCATGGCTTTACATGTGCAACAAATGCTCCCAGCAAGGAGAGCAGTTGTTGAGGAAATAAAAACCAGCACCTTTATTTGAGAAACCAAACTGTTAATAAACAGGTAATAAAGAAAACAACGTGAAGATGTTGGTGCTAACTGCAAAGGCTGGGTGAGTTCTGGTGCCTTCCACACCCCGCTGAGGCTTCAGCAGATGGAGGCCCACTCCCTTTGGAGGCAGCTCTCACAAGCATCCATACCAGTGTTCAGTCAAAAATCCATCTTTTTGTTCAAACTCCTTCTGATTTGGCTCACAACTAGTGGCTCCTTGGGAGGCTTTTTATTCTGTGAGATTTAAGAGCTCTCTGCTGCTGGAAATCATCTCTCTCTTCACAGGTTTTCCACATGCTGTCCATCCCTCCCTGCCAATCTGCTCTTGAAAAGACAGATTTGAACCTCCTTTCTGTCCAACAGTTCCTGCAACTTGTTCCAGAGCCTCCCTGGAGTTGAACAAAGCCTTGTGGAGTGAGTTCCAGGAGGGTCTGCAGCTGCCCAGAGCTGTGTGTGAGCTCTCACGGGAGCCTGTGGGCTTTGCCTGCTGGAAGCTCATGTCCAGCTGAGGAGCCTCTCAGCTTCAGACTTTTCTTTCTAGCACATTGTTTTCTACCCAAAGAGCTTGATCTGCAGTCTTTGTTTCTTGCCTTCTTTCCTTCTGATTCAATTCTCTGTCCTCATGATGTTGAGTCCTGTGTTTTTGAATGCAAATGATTCTCAACTTTCTCAGTTGCTCTTTGGTGTAATTCCTTCAGCCCTGTTGGCTCTCAAGAGTTGCTTTTGAACATTTCCACTAGTCATTAGTGTAATAGGAAATATTTGTTAATTGCTTCCAGAGAGATTCTGTCCAAAACATGGTGAGAGCCTCTCCTACACAGAGGTTCACACTTCAGTTTTTGTTTTGAGTTTCAGGGTTTATTTTCTGTCAGGTATTAGATCTGGATCATTGTTCAAGTCCTGCTTGCTTTGGGCTGCTTCAGGCAGGTCCCTAAATCCTGCTGACACAAACTCTTAGCTGCTGGCTGATTCTCTGCCATCAACTGCAGCATGATTGTGTGTCTCGTTAATTAAGAGCTCCCGCCTCTCCTCTGGGGGTGAACTGGGGAAGGAGAGTGTTCTTCTGAGCAAATCCTCTTTTGCAGTCTGTGTAATAATTTCTGTTGGTTTGGTAAAGGGGAACGATTCTCTGATGAGGGCTATGGAAGGAGTTTCCATTGGAAAATATTTCTTCCTGTTCAAATGACATGACAGGGCTGCTGGAAACAGGGTGTGCAGACTGGCTCAATAGGGGGATAGGGTGGTGGAGGCAAATCTGACACCCCTTTTGTCCTTCTCATGCCCTGTTTTCCTGCCCAGCTGTCCTTGTTAGGAGGCCTCAGCCTTGTCTAAATTAGGCCCTAGGCCTTCTAGCAAAATTCACCTGACTGAATGTGCCTACCTGCAGCAAACTGTCCTGCCATTATTTCGGTAGTCCTGTTCATATCCTGTGTCTTTGAGCACAGGAAGCCAGCAGGCACCCCAACCTGCTTTTTTTGGACTAGAGATCTCCAGGGGTCCCTTCCACCCCCAGCCCCCAGCCATGCTGTGACTCTGTGATCCTGATGTGCTGTGCAGACACAGCCCTGCCTGGCACCATCTCCCAGTCAGTGTCTGTCATCTTGTGGTGTCTGAAGGGGGTGGCAGGAAAACAGAGAGTGGCAGCAGGAGCAGCAGAGGGAGAGGTCCCTGGAAGCGTGCTGTGCACTGAACATTTCTGATGGTAAAACAGCCCCCAGCTTTGGTTTGCCACCACATGGGGTATTAGCAGGCTCTTGATCTGGGCATCCAAAGAAGAAGGTGCAGCTGAAAGGGCTTCAGTTGGTTTCCTTGCCTCTCCCTCTCACCCACCCTTTAAAGAAGCATCTTTGTGAATGTGGGAAGCAGTGGGTGTGGAGTAAGAACACTTGTGACATTTAAGGGAAACTGCTACTCTCTCCTCAGTCCCACCTCAACAAGCTGTTGGCATTAACTCAGTGTCAGAAAAATGTGGAAGTGGATCCTCTCCAGGCAAAGCCATCGTGTGACCCTCTCTTGTAATGGCTGTGGGAGGGGATGGAGACCTGTCCTTGGGTGGCTGTTCTGGGACAGAGACACGGGGACTGAGCCAGGCTAGGTGTGACCAAGCTTGACTTTGTTAGAGTTGGATTTTTGTTGCTTTTGTGTCTCTTAAATCCTGAAGTGTGAGGAAGAGCCAGATGGGGTTGTTGAAACCTGTGATTGCTGCTGAAGCAAAGGGCTGGTGAATATCTTCAAAGAGCAGTGGGGTGTCTGGTGGTGCAAGACTTTGTCAGCATGTCTGACTTATTGGTGCAGGCAAGGCTGAGCCCTTGCTTCGGAGAAACAAGTGTACAAAGCTTCAAACGTGCCCTTTTCAGATCCCAGTTTTGATGTTCAAGATCAAAGCCTGTGTATTGTGATTGCTTCCTTCAGCCACAAGAGACTAATCTCTGGTTTGCTCTTGTATTAAGCATTTCCTTTTGTTGACACTACCCCATAGAAATACACACTTCAGCATGGGTATGTAAAGTGAAAGAAAAACTATTCCTAATCCCTTGTGTGCACCTGTAAATCTGTGGGGAAATCTCACTGTCCCCACCTAGAAATCTGCAGTACATGAGGAATGGAAATCGAGAAATGGAAATGTCCCTGTCTCTCCTCATTAGGATATTGTAATGAGCTCTTAACAGCGCTGGCCCTTGCAGCACGGTGTGGACTCTGTGTTTTTCCTTGGAAGGCCAGAGGGCAGCCCGGAGCTGGCTCTGCCCGGGCTGTTCCCGCTGGGGTAGCTCTGCTCAGGCTGCCTCCTGCTCTCCGAGGCTTTTACCGGGCAGGAGAGCGCCTGGCGCTGTGCCCGGGCCGTGCCCTGCGGAGCGCCGGGGAAGGGAAGGGAGGGATGCTCGCATCCCACGGGCTCGGTTCCGCATCCCCTGCCGGGGAGGACTCCCGGGCTCCGTCCCTCCCTTGCGGTGCAGGACGCGGGCGGCTTTGTCGTTCCTGCAGCTCGACAGCCTTGCCCGCGGTCGGGCGGTGCGGAGGCAGCAGATTTTGGGGAGCGGCTGAGAGTGTGGGACCGCGGAGCCCCGGGCGGCAGCGCAGCCCCCGGAGCGGGGCTGTGGGAGGAGGGTGGGTCCCGGCCGGGCCGGAAGGGGCTCTGCTGCCGATGCTTCGAGGCTTTCGGAGTCGCAGCATCCCTCGCAGCCGCACGGATGCAGCCGCAGCGGGGCAGAGCCGCGGCCGGCCCGCCGGCGTTCGGCTGCAGCAAGGACGAGCCCAGCAGGCAGGTCCGGCCCGTGCCGCTGCCACCAGTGCAGCAGAACCTGAACTATTACCCGCAGATCTTCTGGCTGGACGGCTGTGCCGAGGCAGGGGCTCCCTGTCCCCCCGCTGCCCCCGCGGCTCCTTTCCCACCGCCCGTCCCCGAGCGGAGCAGAAAGCCGCGGAACAAGGACAGGGAAAGGAGCAGCGCCGGCTTCCTCGTGATGTTCTTGCTGATCCTGGTGGCCTTCACCGGAGTGGGGCTGAGCATATTTAAGATTTTTCACCTGGAGAAGGAAGTGGATGAGCTCAGAGAGGTGAGGTCTGCCTGGCTGGGAGCAGGTCCCTGGGGAAACGGGGAAAAGGAGCCCTTGGAATGAATGGTGGCTGAGATGCCCCCAGGGGGCACGGTGGTGACATTTCGGTGGCTGCTGGCACAGAGGAAGGGGGTGCTTGTTCCCCTGGGGGACTGCTGTATCGGGACATCCCTGCGCTCCTGAGCGCTGCCAGCTCTCTCCCTGTGTATTTCTCAGCACTTTGCAGCCCCCCATGGAGCCAAATCCCGGGATTTAACCACTGTCAGAGGCTGCTCACGCTCTAAGCCAATGTCCCTCTTCTCTCTTGCCAGTCTGCCAGCGCCGAGCACATCCCTCCAGCCTCTCAGAAACTCACAGGTGAGTCCATGCCTGCAGCAGGAACCCAGTGAAATTGGAACTTTCCACAAGAACCTGCCAATTTTTCCAGATTTCATTTGGGGGGGGGGGGGGGGGGGGGGGGGGGGAAGTTTCAATTTGGGTGGAACAATTTAAAACTTTGGTTTGAACTTCCAAACTATTGCTTTTCTTTTGCATTCCATGTTAATGTTATAAGTGAGGATATCCTTTTCAAAAATGGTCAAGTCAGAAAGAAATTTTCAGTCCTCTTGACATTTTTTCCTAGCTCTGAAAAGTTTTATTTTTCACCCCCTGAGAAGTTTATTAATTAGAAAATTTCTTTTCAAATTTGTTCTGATATGGAATTAAAAAAAAAAATAAATAGCAAACTTCTTGGGAAAGGGTTCTTATCAACTCCTATACCAATAAGTTTTCCCCTTTAGGGGAAGGGCAGCCCTCATTTGAACTGGATGCTCAGTGCTCTGACCACAGGCTTCTTTAGCAGAGGCTGAACATAAATAATAAACTTTAATTTCTTGAGGGGTCTGGATAAAGATATAGAAACAAGGAAATAGTGTAAAGGAGAAAGGGGAGCGGGGAGGAAAATTTAATTGACTCGAGAAAAGAAAAGGCTGCTTCTGAAATTAAAGATGAAATAGATGTTCAGAATCACTGAACAGAACACCGAATCACTGGAATGGGCCCATCTCTCCAGAGAGAACTCAGCCCTGCAGGGCAGGCAGAGCCTTCCCAGCTGTGCTCTCCCTTCCTGGGGACAGTCCAGTTCCTGCCTCCCAGTGGGATGGAGGGTTTGCAGGGTCTCAGGTCCCCCCTGCTCTCTGGGCTGACTTCTCCATGGAGCTCATGGCCAATGTCTTCCCTATCTTTGTGCAGGGCAGAGGAAGGAGGTGAGGAGGGCAGCCCATGTCACAGGTACGTGTGGGATAGCAGGGCTGGCACCTGGGGTGGGTCAGAGGGTGCCATGGCACCTGGGGTGGGTCAGAGGGTGCCGTGGCAGCTGGGATGGGGTCAGAGGGTGCCATGGCAGCTGGAACAGGATCAGAGGGTGCCAAAGCAGCTGGCATGGGGTCAGAGGGTGCCATGTCTGGAGTTATGAGGAGCCCACCCCACACAGGCTTTGCTGCTCTCCTTGTGTGACACGTCTGTTCTGATGGTGGAAATTTGCTCTGCAGACAAAACCCTCCCCCTCACTTATGCTTCTCAGTGAGGCCTGGCTTTGCCTTGGTTTTTGGGGTGTGCAGGGCAGGAGCGGCACTGGGGCTGGCATTGGTGAGGGGTGAGGCTCAGGAGGACTTTCCACGCCGCAGACAAGTCTTGGAGAACAGCTGCCTTGGGATGTGGGGCGTGACCTGAGCAAAGAACACCCAACCAAATGTACTTCCCACCATTTTCTTTGGTCTTGTTTGGGCTTCCAGGCAACCCAGCCCAGCAGGACCTGCCTCTGGAGTGGGAGCCCACCTCTGGCCATGCCTACACCAGTGGCATCCAGTACCACAAGCGGGGGCTGCTGGTCAGCGAGCCGGGGCTGTACTTCGTGTACTCCAAGGTGCTGTTCCGCGGCAGCGCCTGTGACAGCCAGCTCCTGTCCCACGTGGTGTACAAGAGGAACCCGGCCTCCCCGGGCAGCCTCGTGCTCATGGAGGACAAGGCCACCAACTTCTGCACGGGCCAGAGGATGTGGGCCCGCAGCAGCTACCTGGGGGCTCTCTTCAGGCTCAGGAAGATGGACAGTTTGCACGTCAATGTCTCCAAAATCGCCCTGGTAAACTTTGAGGAATCCAAGACTTTCTTTGGTTTGTTTAAGCTTTGAAATGGAGCGTGGCTGGCAGCCCCTTCACACGCACACCCACACGGATGTGTGAGGGCTGAGTGCTGCCTGGGCACCACAAAACCCACCCAGAAACCATGTTTGGGCTTCAGCATGAGGGGATCCAAGCAACTGGGAAAGGCTTGAAAGCATCAGGGCTGTGCTGCATCAGCCTGAACAGAATTGCACACGTTCTCCTTACAAAAACCCCAACAAACTCAGAAAGTCGTGTGCTGAAAACCCTGCTGGAACTCACTACTTGCTGCCTGAGAAGATGGTGGGACCTGCTGCTCCCCGTGGTGTCACAGCTCTGCTGGGGACAGCTGGGGGGTGTTAAGGAGGTGTCTGGGTCGTGCCACGACACCGCAGTGGTGTGGGGATGAGCAGTGTGAACAGCTGCTCCCCCAGCCATGGCTGGCACTGCCCAGCACTGGGACTGCTGTAGCACAGGCACCTCCTGCTAGCTGGGCTGGGAGAGGCGCTGTGTTCATTTTCTGTTAAGCTATGGACTGTTCCCATCCCAGGAAATGCTCCCCAACCTCTTTATTTAACTCATCCCAAGTGCCTTGCAAGGAAGATGCCAGGAGCAGCAGTGTCCTGAGGGATGTCCCAGAAGTGGCAGTGTGACCACACCATGGTGGTGGAGATGGTGGGGTGGCCATGGGCTCTCTAAGCAGCACAGCAGTGCAGGGCAGTGGGGCTTGAGGTGCAAGCAGCATCTCGGGCCCCCTCCTGCCCCTTCAGCACATGGGGGCCTGCTCTGCCCCCCCTTCCTGATGCAGCTGGTGACATCCTGGCACCTGTCAATTGCGTGACTTTGGCTGGGCCCCTTGCCATGAGATGTTCTCTCCTGAGAAAAACACAGATGGTAAATATATATTTTTCTAGTGAGTGATGCTGTCCTCTCCTCATTTGGTGCAACAGGCTGGGCCATGGCCAAAGCACTGCAAGGCCTCTGTGATCAGGGCTCAGTGCCTCAGTCCTTCTCCAGCAGCGTGGCAGAAATCTCATCCCTCTTTGCTGCCCGCTTGGCACTGCACAGTGCCCTTTCCATGAGGCTTTGGAGCTCCAGCATGGAAACATCAGCATCTGGGGCCTGGGAAGCTGTGGTGTGGGCAGCACAGAGCAGGCAGCCCAAGCCCATCAGGAAGGGGCTGATCTCAAACCACAGCTTAGAGCTGGAGAGGAGCCAGGCACTGGTGGCTGAGCAGAAGTGCTGCTGTCTGTCCCCAAAGGCTCCACCTGAGTGACCTCTGGCCCCAGAAGCACTTCTCACAGAGGGCAAACAAGGGCAAAGAAACAAATTGGTGCAAAAAACCCCCAAACCCTATTTGTTCATCCTGGTGTCAGCTCCACGGGGTTCTACCCCTGGGGCTGTCACAGCCACCAGGCAGGACACAAAGGCTGCAGCTGGTCCATCACCACCTCTGCCCCTGCTCCTGCCCTCCTGCAGCTCTGCTGTTGCTCTCAGTGAGGGTGGCTCCTCAGCAGCCTGCAGCATTTTTTTCCTTTGCCACTGTGCTGCTCTCAGCTCGGTGTGGTTTGTGTTGTCTGCTTCAGGGAAGTTTATTTCTTTGAAACTTCTCAGTGGTCTGGCTACTTCTGTGGCCAGTGGGAGGGGAAAACTGCAGCCCTGCTCACACTGCTGATGTTTCCACTTCATTTCTCAGGGTGGAAAATATCTCAACAGGATGAAGTTCAGGGGTCTTCTGGCTTGACTTTTTCTCTGCACATATCAGAGGGTGAAACTGCACAGCACAGGGATGGAGCTGCTGGATCTAGAACTTTCCAGGAAAGGCTGGAAATTGCTGTCCTCTTCTGATTGCTCTTTGGGCTGTGCTGCTCTCCTGGTGATGGGACATCCAAGTGGGGAGTGGGAAGCTCTTTGTACAGGTGTCTCTGCAGCCAAACCAGCCAAGAACCCCAGATGCTTCCCTTTTTTCTGGGGAGCAGCCTGGAGAGAGGCAGGGCATTCCTGGCCCACAGGAAACCTGTCCTGCTGCTCCTCTGCCTGCTGGCACGGGGTTGGCAGGGCTGGGAGGATCCCAAAGCCTCTCTAGGTCACCCCACAGTAACCATGCAGGCTGTGGCTGCAGTTAGCTCTGGGGCAGGATGAGCTCTGGCCCTTGGGTGGGAATGAGATCTGTCCTCACCTGAAATGCCAAGGGCACCCCAGAGCTGCACCTTTCAGGGGCAGGGGCACAGAGGGGTGGGCAGTGCTGTTACAAACAGTTCTGGTCCTTCTGAGGAGGGCAGAGCTGGTGCAGGACCAAGCTGGAGTTCCCAGGCTTGCTCCTGGCTCGGGCACAGCTGCCAGTGGGATGGGTTCTGCTCTGTGATCCCTCTCTCAAACATCCCCTGGAGTGCCCATGCTGAGCTCCTGGGCTCTGCCTGCAGGCTGGGAGCGAGCTCATGGCAGGATTGGACCTTTTCAATTCATAAGCTGCTTGTGCCACAGTGACTTTAATAAAGTCATTAACTGATCTAGCAAATTAGCTGCTCATTTAAAGACTTTTTTGCTAATTGTTTCCATTAAATACTCAATGAGTGTTTAATGCTGACATTAGGCTCTCTCAGGCTGAGAGAGTTGGTGTTATTCAGCCTGGAGAAGTTTCCAGGGAGGCCTCAGAGCCCCTTCCACTGCCTCAAGGGAATCCCAGAGAGCTGGGAAGGGACTCGTGACAAGAGCATGGAGTGACAGGAAAAAGGGAAATGGCTTTAATGTGAAAGGGTACAGGTTTAGATTGGACATTGGGAAGAAATTCTTCCCTAAGAGGGTGATGAGGCCCTGGCACTGCTCAGAGAAGTCGTGGGTGCCCCATCCCTGGAAGTGCCCAAGGCCTGGTGGGATGGGACTTAGAGCAAGCTGGCCTAGCAGGAGGGGTCCCTGCCAGAAATTGGGGTTGTTGGAGCCGTCTTTAGGCCAAACCATTCTGTGATTTTTAATAGCTCTTGGGCTGTACTTAAAATTTTTAAAATATGAATTTTAATTGGAATGTACCAAGTATTTTGTTCTCTCCCCAGCAAGGGAAGGGTCTGTGCACGAGAAAGGCTATCCCAGGTGCACCAGCAGGACTGAGTTTTGGGATGTTTGGGTTTTCCCTGCCCTGCAGGCTGTGGTTGCAGTGCTCTGAGCTGACATCCTCTCCCCTGATGGAGCAGCCTGGGTCAGGTGTGGAGGTGCCTCAGGAGTTTCAGCACCATTTACAGGCTCCAGAGACCCTCACTCTGCAGAGAACGTGGCTGACAAGAAGTGAGGAGCCCAGATCATCTCCTGCTCAGAGTTCTCTGGTCTGCTCCCTCTGCCTGGCACACAGACAGCTCCTGTGGGCAGCTGAACCCTGCCCAGAAGGTGCCCATGTGTTTGGATGTGCAGCTGCCCAAGTGGGGCTCTGCATGGCAAATATTTATTCTGTTTGTTCAGCACAGAGAGCTGCTTGGCAGAGATTTAGCCTCTCTTGTGTCTGATGTGCATTAGATGCTGTATCCTATTTACCTGAGACCAGGTTCCACTGCCTTACAAACCTTGTGTAGGCTCAGGATGGGCTGTAACCCATGGGTTACATCACAGACTTCTCTTTTAAATCTCTTTTTACCTCCTTTTTTTCCCCGAGGCCAGCCTTGGGCTCTCTGAGTTTCTGTTACAATGTCCTGTGTGGTATCACTCCTTCCAGCCTGAGGAGCTGCACAGACTGTGGCACATTTTTACCAGGTTGGGAAGGAGATTGTCTGGTGGTTAGAGACAGGAGAAAGGGAAGAGGGGTTGATTCAGATATTGCTTTTATTCTCCTAGTGCTCTGACACACAAGGGTATTACATCATGGTTACAGAAGTGGAATTTTAGGCATGACTAAGTGGCTGAGGTTCAACGCAGCAGAAAGGAGGAGATGAGTAAAGACAGAGTAATTTTGCTGCAAGGTGAGGCAAGTTGCGTGTGAATTTCTGGTTGATTTTAATGACTAAAAAAAAAAAAAAGGAAATGAGGAAGAAGAAAAGCTTGACAGCTTGTCGCTGATTGATCTCTCTGGGTAATGAGGAGAGCCAGGTGCTCTGTTCCTGCACATGGCCTGTCCCAGGAGCTGTGGGAACAGGGACAAAGGCTTTCTGCTCTGGGGACTCCCAGGTTTGATTGGAAATGAGCTGCTCATTTCTCTAGGTAGCAAAGAGACTCAAAGCTGCAGGTGGAATTTCAAACCACAACATGCTTTCCTCTCCCTCAGCTGCCTCCCCATTCCTCAGCAGAGGCTGTGAGAGAATCACCTTCTCTCCCCTCTTACAAACTCACCACAGATATTTTATTTTAACTGTTCCTCTCTCTTCTTCCCATATTCCACAACTAGTTTCCTTCAACAACAGTTGAAAAAGTCTCTCTGTCCAGATTTGTTTTGTTGTTGGGGATTCCTCTGGCTCCCCTTGGTCAGGTCATTCCTGGGGACTGAAAGCCAGCTGGTCACCTAATTCCCTGGGGAATTCACCTTGGACAGCTGCCCTGGCAGGGGAATAGCTGCCTTTTGAGCCATCTGAATGGCTTCCAGGACTGGACTGCATGTTCTCCTCAGCTCTGAGCTGGGGACATGCATTTCCCCTGGAGTTTCTCTCTCCTCGCTCCTGTGAGGTTTATGTCAACACAGAGGCAAAATATGTCAGAGAAAAAGGCATCAGACAGGAATATTTGTGCCTCCTAATAAGATTTCTTCATGAAGAAGAAATTGAAATTATCTGACATTTAATTTTCATCACAGTTCTGAAAGAGAAATGCAAACCACGGAAGATAAGAATGCACAAAGGCAAATGCCATTTTCTCAGATTCCCTGCTTGACACCAGCAGTGAAGGAGCAGGAGGATTTCAGCACATTCAGCAGTTAAATCCCATTGCTGCACTTGGTTTGAGCCAGGGTGCCTTGGCTGACTGCTCTTTTTCCTTAAGCAGCAGAAGGAAATGATCATTTTGTTTGAAATCTCCACTCACATCCTGTGCAGACCCCGCTTGCTGTGCTGGGGGAGGTGACTCAGATAAGGCTCAGATGGAAAGAAGGGGATGGTAATTTCCAAATTCAGTTTGAACCATCCTGAGGTCCTGTCTCCCTGCCCTTGAAGAGTTTATTTTGTCACCACATGCATTTTATTCTGCACAGGGGGTGTTAGTGACAGGACAGGCTGAGATCCACCTGCCAGTTGATGCATCCATGTCTCCAGAGCCCTCCAAGGCACAGGTTAAACACATTCCAGAGCTGTGGGGTTGCAGTGCCACAGGACAAGTGCCAGGGCTCTGCACAGGATCCCTGCAAGGAGCAGAGTAGCACCTGCACAGGTTCCTGCTGCCATCAGACTCTTTGCTGTGGGCTGCTGGTGGCTGTAGGTGGCACTGGGAGCTTCTGCCTCTGTCGAGTTTTTATCTTCTTTTTTGCCAGGGTCAGGATTAAATGTCTGAGATGGAATTTCTTGTTTGGACCCAGATGTTTATTAGTATTGTATCCATGCTACAGTCTCACAAACCCTGAGCTCTACAGCACTTCACTCTAACAAAATAAAAATGGAGCCCTGTCTCTCTCTCTCTCCAAGGCCTTTTAAGGATAAACTGTCCAATTAAGAAATGACACCTGAATTATTTTTACTTTTAACCCAATAATCAACCACCCATGGTTCTCAATGTGGACTTTTTTATCCAATTACACAAAACCACCCAGACCCATGGAGAAGAAGGTGAAGAAGGACCAGTCACTGCCCTAAAATCTCCTTCTTGCTTTATAGATATTACTATATTCTAGAACCTTAAACTCTAAGTTTTCCACCCTGTGATATCGCACACTTCTGATCAAACTCCACACCCACCATCCCAGTTCTATCATTCCATT